ATCTCTGGATCTGAACCTGGGAGGTCGGCACCAGGTAGGAACCGTCAGCACAGGACTCACACGTCAGACCGCCGAATCCATCTCTGCAGGAGCACCGGCCGGAAGTGACGTCACAGGTGGACTTGAGTGACCTTTGCGGATGGCAGTTGCACGGCTGGCAGCCAGCCGAAAATTGAGTGGAGAGTCCGTAGAAGCCGAACTTGCAGACATCGCATTTTAAACCTTTTTGTGGCCGTTGCAGTTGGTCGTTGTGGTTGGTCGTCGTCGTCATCATCATCAGCACCATTCTTAATCACCATCATTTTCATTTTTATTATTTTCTCATCCATATAAAAACTATTTTTAATTTTGAACATCATCCTCATCATCATTTCACCACCATCACCATCACCTTGAACATTCTCTTTACAAAGACACTGCCCGGTGATTGGGTGGCATGTATCGACCCCAGGACTGGAGGCCCCTACAGGGCTTGCCCCACCCGGATAACACAAGCATGGTTCACAGCCCTGGGGGTTTGAGCCCTGCAAATTGAAGAAACCAGGTTTGCAGGTGTCACACTGCCTCCCTTCAACATTTCTTTTGCATTTGCACTGTCCGCCTACCTGTGTGCGTGCGTGTGTGGTTGTATGTGTGTGTGTATGTGTATGGTTGTGTGTGTGTGCATGTGTGTGTGTGTGTCTGTGTGGTGTTAGTTTGTAGATTTCAAAACATAATCTTCGATATCTTCAAGCGAATGTTTACATAAATATAATATACAAAGCGAATATGTGTGTCGGTGTGTGTGCGTGTGTGTGTGAGTATGGGGTTTGCGTGTGTGGGAGGATGTGTTAGTTTGTTATTACTGTCAAATTGTTATTAATAATAAATAATTATCTATAATAATAGTGTGACGTGACAAGGAAAGAGTTAAGCCGTGATTGGCAGCATTGAATGAGTTCATTATTACAAACCGCGTTTAAAGTAATTTTGTTATTTTAAATACTTCTTGTAACCTAAGTTAACATTTATTCAATTAATTTTTGTAACCTTTTCGCAATCGAATCCATCATCATCTGCACTTTTTTCAGAGCCAATAGGATTGCAGTTACATTCCTCGCAAACATTTTTAGCCAATAAGCTTCTACCATCGGGTCTGTAGTAATTTTTAGCGCACCAATCACAGCCCGTTCCGGCGGTGTTGTCTTGGCAATCGAGGCAAACTCCTCCCCCTCCTAAATTCTGATTGGTGCTGAAGAGATCGATGGAAGAGTTGTAATAACAGGAGGAGGCGTGGTCATAGCATTGACAGGCGCGGCACGACGATCTCTGATTGGCTGATCCTCGTTTAAATGGTTTGTTGTTGTATAATGGCAAGCAGCGGTCGCACTTGTTGAGGAAAATGAATATTAATGAGATAGTATGAATAAATTATGATAATCCATACATCATGAATAGTTATTGTAAATCATGAATAATTATAATAGGTTATAATAATGTTGAAACCTTATCGCCAGTGGTGTAAGTCCCATCATTACATTTGCATCTATATGGGAGTGAGGATGTATTGCATTCCGACGCCTGCCCGTTGCAATCGCACCTTGAATAAATTAATAAATTATGATAACTTAATCGCCATTAAATTTTAATTATTATAATATTTAATTATAATATTTAATTGAAATATTTTACCACAATTTTTCGTCCAGCAAAAAATTATTTTCCAGCCAACCTGCCGATAACTTCCACCTCGTAAATCCCGAAGTACTGGTGCCTCAGGGTTAAACTTTCCTCGTGACCCGACATAGTTAGCCTGACCCTGGAGGCCATCATGTGATTAATTAGGTCAAGTTGGTTGCCGGGGCTTTGGTACCCGGGTCGCGATGACGTCAGGAGGTTGAATATTAATGAGGCCCCGGACAGCGATGATGGTTGTGATCTTTTGAAAGATGCAAATGAATGAACGAACAAACGAATGAATGAATGAAAACAGATAATGTATGAATAAATGGATCAAATAATAAAAGAATGATTGGAAAGAGATCATTGAATAAACGAACGATAGAACAAATGAATGAATGAATGAATGAGCAAACGGACGAACGAACGAGTGAATGAATGAATATGAGATAACAAATGAATAATATAAATACGTAACTAAGTGGCAGATCTAGACAAGGTTGAAACGGAGGGGAGGTGCCCAAAATTTACAATTTTTTTAAATTTGACCATAGTCTGGTCAAAACTAGGCTGGTGACCTTCCTTTTTCTCTCATCAAGCCCATTTTTGATAGATTTTCAACTTAAATTGGCGTTTTCCCGGTCTACAAAGTAATTGAACTGAACCGCTGTACATGTGAATATGTATTTCCTAATAAAGAATCGAATTCTGCTAAATCTCAGACAACTTTTTTTGGCAAACTTTTCTCTATTGAAAATGATTTTCCCCGAAAGGTACTTTAAAATCGACTAAACAAGCCGTAGCCGTAACTTCATACAAGCGAAAATGTTATCTAATAAATTAAAATATAAATTAATTAAATTAAATTATCTAATTAAACCGGTCATTACATTCTGGTTAGCAAATCTCATTCAGCTTTCTTTCAGGCAAATTTTGTTCCATAGAAAATGTTTTCATTTTTAAACAAATTATCGGCTGATTTTTCGTATTTCTATGTAACAATACGGTTCCTGGCCAACCCTAGATCGGCCACCGATCAAACCTCACTAACCCGTCTATAGTCAAACAGTTGAAGGATGTCGCATTGTCCAGCGGCCCATTTGGAATCAGGCCGAAATCCCTCATGCAGTCACGTGAGTAATACTGCCACGTGACCCAATTATTATTATTATTATTCAGGTCAGTTGAAACTTTTTCTATTTTTAGCCAGACAGGCAGCGGACTGAAGAATGTGATTTTTGTGAAAAAAACCTGAAAATTTTTTTATTTCAATTTTAAAAAATTATACAGTTAAAATTATCAGTTAAATCTATTTACTGTTTTTCTGTTAAATTAACAATTTATTTATATAAAAATTTTTTCAAATAAAAATGTTTAAATTGATCGTAGCCAACTTCAAAAACGTCTCCAAAATCTATCTCTACAGTTAGAGAGTCTATAGGATTTGTGAGGAAATATGTATTTGGGTTACCATCATTGAGCATTTCTATTGGATGGCTCAGAGGACTAATCCTTTGAACTCTAATTGGGTCAAGGTTGTTTACGTTAGTGAGGTTGGAATAATTTAGGTCGATGTTATTTCTGTAGCAGCCAATAGGATCGCTGGATCCCTGCTCAAAGGTGTGACTAGCAGGGCAGAAGCAATTTGATTGGATGCGAGATATTGGCAGGAGGCCTGTGTGGATCTGAACTATTTCTCTGATTGGTTGAAATGTTGTGAATGAATTAATTAACATAATTTATTCATGATTTTAAAATTTGTAATAGTTATGTCTATTTATAATTAATATTGTATTTTAGGTTTGACTGCACAAAAAATATAGTAATGATCTGATAAATGAATGAATGAATAAATGAATAAATGAATGAATAAATAAATGAACGAACGATTGAATGGAATGAATAAAAAATAAAACAATTAATAACAAACAAATGAATGGATGAATTATAAGACAATTCAATAAACAATAGAATCAATAATAAACGAATAAACGTTAAATGGAAATAAAAACCATAAACCCACAAAATAAAATTCTGAACGAACCTATTCGAGAGAGCGTCGTCGTAAAATCTAAAGTCTTGGATTCTGCCGATGAACTGATTGAGACCTGTATTCATTCATTCATTCATTCATTCATTCATTCATTTTTTCGTTCTTTCATTCATTCATTCATTTTTTCGTTCATTCATTTATTCGTTCTTTTTTCGTTCATTCATTTATTCACTCATTTGTTTATTCATTCATTCATTTTTGCGTTCTTTCTTTCGTTCATTCATTTACTCACTCATTCGTCCAACTAACCCGATTCATCTTGACCTATAACGACCTTGACATTACCTCCAAGGTCATCGGCCACCCCGTCCATCAACCTCACGGTCAGGATTGAAGGAGTAAAAGTGGATGCGTTCACAAAGACTGATAATTGGTTGCTGTATAGCTGATGAACGAATGAGTAATGAATAAAAAAATGAATGATCAAATGAATGAATAAATTAATTAATTAATGCATGAGTGGGTAGATGAATGAGTAGATGAATGAATTACTAAATGATTGAATGAAGGACTGATAGATAAATGAAGCTGTCGAATTAATTGTGAAATTAATAGATTGATAATTGATGAATGGGTGGATGAATGGAGGAGTTAACGAGCAAACGAACGAACAAATGAACGAACGAACGAACGAGTGAATAAATGAGTAGAGAACTAATATGGAGGGATGAGTGAATGAAAGAATGATTCACTATGAACATAATCATAAGTTTCGTAACCTGCAGAGAGATGTGATTCCAAGAATTAGTAGCCACGGCAACCGGTATACCGTGTTCGACATAACCGTATCTCAGTGTGTTGTAACCGAATAGAATCGAAGTGTTGGTCCGTGTAGAAGTCGATACTTGCAACTTCAAAATCGGTTTTGTATTAGCCTCGGTTTTCGAATACTTCACTAATACGGTCCTGTAAAGGGAATGAATTAATTTAAATAGTAATACTTTGTAGGCAAAAAAGGCACCTCCCAAAAAAGGTCAAAAGGTCGCCAGATATTGTGACCAAAAAGGGTAAAAGGGCGCCTGCTAATCAAGATCTTAAAATAAGGGACAAAATCCAAAATTGCTATATATATATATATATATGTATATATATATATGTATATATATATATATATATATATATGTATGTATATATATATATGCTGGTAATAGACCATAATTTTTACAATATTCTATAAATTCTACCGAATGTTTGGCGTTAATATGTTTGTAGTTCGTTTTTTCGATTTTTCTCACTAAAGTCTTTTGGTGTACGTTTAGTTTATTAAAATTCAAAATAAACTTATTTTTCGAATTCATGCTGCAAATAAGACCATATTTCGATTCCGAATGAATCATCATCAGTGCTCCTTGCTGTATATATAGGGAAATATTGACTTTGTCAAGATGAACTTTGACGTTGTAAAAATTAACTTTGGTGTTGTAAAATTGAACTTTGATGCGAATTAGGTGTCAGGTTTCTTTATTGGCTGGTCATCTTCTTTGGTCTCCTTTTTTTCATCGATAGCGTCATATTCTTCTTTGTCACTATTTACGATGCTAGTTTTTATTACTTCTTTGTTTTCGTTGTTAAGCGCCGGGTTGGAAGTGAGGTTGTCATTTTTTGTTGTATATTTGTTTTTGGTTTATTGATGTCAATTAGGACTGCTTCTGCAATTTTAAGATGCGTGTAATTGCTGTTCTGGTATATTACTTTGGTGTTGCTGTCGAAGATTTCACGGCTAATTGTGATTGAGTGTGTTGAGTCCAAATGAGATTTGATAGCACCACTCTGTTTATGCATCGTAAGCCTTCTAGTCAGTGAGGTAGTAGTAATCCCGATATATAAGTCATGTTGACGTGCACAGCCGTCAAAGGGGCAATTAAATTCATATATTACGCGATTACGCTTTAACTCAGAGTTATCTCTAGGACTGCAGTTGTTTTTCAGTATTAGGTGAGACGTCTTTTTATTGTTGTAATAAATTCGGAGTTTAACTTTACTCTTTGGGTTGGTTGGTGTGACATTTTTATTGATGATATGTTTAAGAGAAGAATATGATGCTATCGATGAAGAAAAGGAAACCAAAGAAGAAACCTGACACCTAATTCGCATCAAAGTTCAATTTTACAACACTAAAGTTAATTTTACAACGTCAAAGTTCATCTCGACAAAGTCAATATTTCCCTATATATACAGCAAGGAGCACTGATGATGATTCATTCGGAATCGAAATATGGTCTTATTTGCAGCATGAATTCGAAAAATAAGTTTATATTGAATTTTAATAAACTAAACGTTCACCAAAAAACTTTAGTGAGAAAAATCGAAAAAACGAACTACAAACATATTAACGCCAAACATTCGGTAGAATTTATAGAATATTGTATAAATATATATATATATATATATATATATATATATATATATATACGCGGCCCTCGAAAGGTAAAATTGTTTTCAATGTGGCCCTCACAGCTAA